CAGGCAAAACCATACTTCTATCAGACAAAACACACTTCCAGCCAAAAAGCGTAACAAGGGACAAAGAAGGTTATTATATAATGATGAACGGGTCAATACATCAAGAAGACAATAACAATCATAAATATGTATGTTCCTAACACCTGAACGACAAAGTATATGAAACAAATACTAACAGATCTTAAGGGAGAAACAGACCACGATACAACGATAATAAGGGACTTCAATATCAGCAACATAGAGATCATCCAGACAGAAAATCAACAAGGAAATGTTGGAACTGAACCACACTTTGGAACAAGTGAACTAACACAGAACATGCTATCTGACATTTACAGAATCCACATTCTTCTCGAGTGCACATGGAGCATTCTCCAGGACAGATCGAGACAGGCCACAAAATAAATCTTGGCAAATTTAAGAAGACTGAAACCACACCAACTATCTTTTCTGACGACAATGGTCAGAATGACCAGTGAAACATAAATCAACAACAACAAGAAAATGAGAAAGAAGATCTACAAATATGTGGAAACTAACCCACTTCTAAACAATGGCTCAAAGAAGAAATCAAAGGGAAATTAAAAAATTATCTTGAAACACACGAAAATGGAAATACAATTTATCAAATCTTGTGGGACCCAGCAAAACCAGTTCTGAGAGAAAAGTTATAGCAATAGTGGATATATTAAGACGTTAGAAAGATCTCAAATAATCAAGTTAACTTTACACTTCAAGAACTAGAAAAAGAACACCACCACAAGAAAAGTACAAACCAATATCCCTGATGAATATAGATGCAAAAATTCTCAGCAAAAATCAATAAATGGGACTATATCAAACTCAAAAGCTTCTGCGGAGCAAAAGAAACAATTAACAAAATGAAAGGACAACCTACAAAATGGAAGACAATTTTTGCAAGCCATATATCAGATAAGGGGTTAATATGCAAAATATATAAAGAATTCACACAACCTAGTAACAACAATAACAAAAACCATCCAATTAAAACATGGGCCGAAAAAGTAATTGACATTTCTCCAAAGAGGACATCCATTTGGCCAACAGGTACATGTTCAATGTCACTAATCATCAGGAAAATGCAAACTAAGACCACAATGAGATATCACCTCACACCTGTCAGAATGGCTCTCATGAAGAAGAGGGGTGCCTGGGTGTCTCAGTTGGTTACGTGTCCTACTCTTAATTTCAGCTCAGGTCATGATCTCCCCGTTTGTGGGATCAAGTCCTGCATCAGGCTCTGCACTGACAGTGCGGAGCCTGCTTGGGATTCTCTCTCTGCCTCTCTCCTAGTGGGGCATGCACACACACACACATGCTCTTTCTCTCTCTCGAAATAAATAAACTTAAAAAAAAAAGACGAGACAAAAAGTGTTGGTGAGGATGTGGTGAAAAGTAAAACCAAAAACAAACCCTTGTTCACTGCAGTGGAGATGTAAATTGGTCCAACCACTATGGAAAATAATATGGAGATTCCTCAAAAAATTAAAAATAGAACTCTGTATGACCCCGCAATTTCACTTCTGGGAAGATCCCCAAATGAAATGAAACAAGATTTCAAGGAGACCTCTACACACCCATGCTTATCGAAGCATTATTCACAAGAGCCAAGATAGGGAAACAACCAATGCCTATCAATGGATGGACGGATAAAAAGATATAGTATACGGGCACTTGGCTGGCTCAGTTGGTGAAGTGTTGGTGACTCTGTTGGTCTCAGAGTTGTGAATGGCTCAGATGGCTCAGTTGGTGACTCTGTTGATCTCAGAGTTGTGAATTCTAGCCCCACATCGGGTATAGAGATTAATTGAAAATAAATTAAAAAAAAAAAAAGGTGGAGTACGCATACACAACGGAATATTAAGGGAAGATATCCTTGCCATTTACAACAACGTGGAGAGACACTGAGCACATCAGGCTAAGTGAGATAAGTCGGACAGAAAGACAGGTACTGTGCTATCACTCATATGTGGAATCTAAAAAAAGTCAAACCCATAAAAAAAAAACCCAGAGAGTAAATGGTGATTAGCAGGGGATTCAGGGATTAGACGAGGCTGGTTCAGAGTACAAACTTGTAACGAGCAGGGAATAAACCAAAGATCTAATGCTCGGCATAATGAATATAGACGGTAATACTGTACTATAATTACACAATGTGATAAATATCGCTACAATCATGTTAACAACATATAAATGTCAAAATGATAGCTATACACCATAATTTTACACAATGCTACAGG